GTTTCTACATGTACATTTATAAAAATAAATGTCATTGTGTTTAATTGAGTATATTCTTGCAAAAGGAGGTATAACATTACACACTCCGTTTCTGTTAAAATTTATGGTTTTAAAATATATTCATTTGCATATTACCAACATTTGGGGGGCTGGTATACATTTAAAAATATTTTGATTATTCCTTTTTGATTATCCAAAAGTATAACACTTGTTAAAAGTCATATTTTTAATTGATTGATTTGATTTGATGCTGCACAACTCCAATGACTCTGGACTTAAATTAAGTTTATAATTATTTTTTTACACCAAGCTAGAAATTTTTGCAATGCTAACAAAATGAAACACTAAATCCAGTTATTTAGTCATTCTTAATCCACAGTTGCCAAGAGTCAGAACTGACTTGAAAGTACAGAAACAAAATCGCCGTACCTGCAATTATCACATGTTGCCACGTCAAAATGGTTCATGAGATAGGAGTCCATGAATTCCTTCCCACATTCTTCGCAGATTAGATAATCAAATTCTAATACCGGCCCTATTAAAATAAGAACGGAAGCACAATAATGACAATTCAAGCTGTTAAATTTATCCAAAATAGTAAAGTAGCAATAACAGTAAATGCAAATACAACAGAAAAAAATAAGCTTTGGAATCTTGGAAATTACATTTTATTGTGTTTTACTGTCTATAATATTTATTTGTTATGTATATGTAGGGGATGGGTCTATACATATGTTCTACAAAGTATGTTTACGTGTGTGTCATGTATGTGTTTTCACTTTGAGAGCGGGCAACTAAATTTCATTTTTGATGTGTGCCGTTGTGCCCACAGTAAAAAAATGACAATAATAGTTATCTTATCTTATCTATAAACCTTGATAAAAATAAGCACTGCTTATTAGAAATAAGCTTGCTTTTCCAGGTTAGGCGAGCTGTGCTGTTGATGTGGTTTTATGATACTCTACCTTGGATAACAAGGATTATTGTTCTGTAACTATTGATTTCAATCTTTGTATGCTGCCCAGAGTCACTTTAAGGAAATTCTTGACTCAATAGTGCAACTTATTCCAATCTGGTAATCTCTAGATCTGTTGTCTCCATCCGTACTCACTGTAATTCTCAGTCAATTTTGGATTAAGATTAGCAAATTTATATTCTTATTTAACCAATGCTGAACCTAAAACAAGAACATATGGCTCTTTTTGATCAAAATGTCCTATGTCTTGCTTATTCAGGCACTTATTAAAATAAAGCAAATTACCAGGGGGATGCACAATTTTCTCAGTCTGGTGTCGGTTTTTCTCTTCTTCTTCCTCCTCCAGAAAAAACCCTCCTCCTGTATCTATTGTCTTTGGAGGTGCTTTAACTTTTGAACTGCCTGTAAAGATAAAATAACAATTTGTGTACCTGTACAGATAAAATGACTTTATTTTGAAACGACTCCAGAACATTCATTATATAAACTACTTTCAGTCACTGATGAGACTTCAACACTTCAACACTTTTAGACTTCAACAGCTTCAACACTTTTAGATCATAGTCTTGAAATATATACATTTACACATCTCGTATCCACCTCAAACTGTGATGCAACAGATCTAATTCATAAAACAAACTGGGAAGATATGAGTGAGTCCATATATTCACTGAGCCACTGTTTATGTAATTACATTTCACTGAATGAAGCTCAATTGGCTAGGTTTGCCCATCATGCTAATAATATAATACAGAATGACAATGGCTTGGTTTAGTCAGCGCATTAAGCCAATAACGTCGATGTGCATTTTTTCTTCAGTTTTGAATAAAATATCCCTCTCCGTAGCTTGTTCCACAAACTTTCTTCCTTATTATTATGATGCAGGAACGCAGGCTGTGAATGCAAGTCCAATGAAAGTAGATGGATAATATTATGGGAACCACACTTTGCTTCTCTGTGCACTCGCTGCAAAAAAAGGTGGCAACCTTTTTTACAATAAACTTGTTTAATTTCTCAGAATATACAGTTTACTAGGGAAGGTCTTAAGAACATCCCTACATCATCATCTTCATGCGCATGACTTCCTTATAAAGTGCACAAACTAACAGGAGATATTGTCCCCTATATGACACAATAACAGGATACGGCAAACCTTCGCCAGGAGAAGGGTAGGGCCAGTTCGCCAGTCTAGCTTGCCTGAGCATCAAAGCCCGCTGGCGGTTCCTCTCCATCTTTGCCCTCGTGGTCTCGGAGAGTGTGTTTTTTTCTCCTTTGGCAGCACTTGGATCCATGGCCAGATTCAGAACCACTCATCTAAAAATGGGAAGAGGTAGTTGAGCAATCAATCAATAGCCAAAGGACCGCTCAATATCAATTTGACCATATTTAACAAAACGCAGAATGAGGTGAGATGGCATTAATACTTGGATGGGTGATTGATGGGCTGCTCGACTGCAAGTCGAACCCGCCCCCCCAAAAAAGCAAAACCCGACAATCTTATTTCGTAAGGCTGCCAAGAAAACTGCAGAGATGCATTCCCCCCACCCCAAAAAAAGAGGTGGCACTACTGATAACGTGGGCTTCAGCGGACAAACGTTTGTGCTCACTTTATCAGTTTGGAAATGTCACCGCTCTTTGTTGTTTTTCCTTGCTAGCATCAGCAAGGGAGATTTAGCAACTCGCCTCTCAGCAAAGGCTAGCCCAGTGATTCTCAACCTTGACAATTTTAAGGCATGTGGACTTCAACTCCCAGAATTCCACAGCCAGCATTGCTGGGTGTGGAATTCTGGGAGTTGAAGTCCACATGCCTTAAAATTGTCAAGGTTGAGAAACACTGGGCTAGCCCGTGCCGCCCGTCAAACACGGCGACAGACGCGAGCAAGGACAGAAATTGGTTTCCACTCGGCACAATCCTACTTTGACCACCATCATCACAACCCGCCAGTTTATTCACTGCACGGGGCTCCTTTCCCCACGTAAGTTTGGTCCCGCGGGATCTTCGCTTCGCGCGTCCCGCTTTGGAAAAGCAAGAAAATCCGAGAAGACCCTTCGACACCACGACCACCCGCGGCCACGGTACTTACAGGAAGCACAAAGTCTTGGCTTCTTTAACAGAGTGCGCATGCGCTGGTAAAAGCGCACACTCACTCACTCACTCACTC